AGAGAGAGAGAGGCAGAGAGACAGCAGGAGACAGAGAGAGAGAGAGAGAGAGGCAGAGAGAGAGAGAGAGAGGCAGAGAGACAGACAGAGACAGAGAGAGAGAGGCAGAGAGACAGAGGGAGACAGAGAGACAGAGGCAGAGAGACAGAGGGAGACAGAGAGAGAGAGAGAGAGAGAGGCAGAGACAGAGAGAGAGAGAGACAGAGAGAGGCAGAGACAGAGAGAGAGAGAGAGAGAGAGGCAGAGAGAGAGAGAGGCAGAGAGACAGAAGGAGACAGAGACACAGAGACAGAGAGGCAGACAGAGAGACAGAGACAGACAAAGAGAGATACAGAGACAGACAGAAATAGACACAGACAGAAAAAAGAGAGAAAAAGAAAGAGGAATAGAGAAAGAATAAAGAGCAAGAAAAGAGAAAGAGAGAGAAGGAGGAGGAGGAGGAGGAGGAAGAAGAAGAAGGTGTGCAGGAGGGGTAAGGAGAAACAGAAACAAGAAGGGGATGGATGGAATAAGCATTTATTAAGCACCTACTATGTGCCAGGCACTGTGCTAAGCAGTTTTACAAATATTATTTCATTTGATCTTCAGCAATTCTGGGAGGTGGATGCTATTATTATCCTCATTTTACAGTTGAGGAAACTGAGGCAGGCAGCAGTTAAGTGATATGCCCAGGGTCACACAGCTCATAAGCATCTGAGGCTGCATATGATCTCAAGTCTTCTGCATTCCAGGCCCAGAGCTCTATCCACTGCTCCACCAGGGATGAGGCTGTCTCTGAATTTCTCTTACTGTAGTTTGGAGTTGGGGAAACAGGGTACAGTAGGAAGGAGGCAAACAGAGAGAGCAGGGTTGTGTAGGTGTGTGTGGGGACATTTGGGGGCCTTTAAGCTGCCTCCTGGTTCTTCACTCCCCCTGTCCCCCTGATCCTATCCACTATGGCAGGTCCAGTTGAGGAGGGAGAGCGGCATGAGGCCAGAAGGGAGAGACTATTGGGGTGATATGCCCTCCAAACCAGAAACAAACATGTTCTCCCCAGCACCAAACCCAGAAGGTTGGTGGCTGAGGGGCAGGACCCCAGGGTCCTTGCTGGGGAAAAGATTGAGGATCCAGAAAGCCAGGTTCTCCAAGGACCCTCCTTGAGGCTTAGCCCTGACCCTAACAAGCTCTGCAGGACTGGTGGGGGGGGGTGACTCAGTCAGGGAAGCAGCATCAGGACTGGGTGAGGTCCCCAGGGTGGGTGTCACCCCCAGAAATGCTGGAGCCACCGGAAAAGTGGGGAGTCACCCATCGGGGAGAAGCTGCTGTCACTTGGCAGGCAGGGCTGGGCAGGGATGGGGTGATGTTGCTGGCTTAGGCGGGGCCAGGCCCCCACCCCTTCAGGGATGAGCATCCTGATCTCCAGCTCTCTGGGTAACTTTTAGCCTCCCATCAACCTCCCAGGGTTGTGAGATCAAATGAGATAATAATTGTAAATGGCTTAGCACAGTGCTTTGCATACAGTAGGTGCTTAATAAATGCTTCCTTCCTTCCTGTATTTGTCTTAACTCTGTGTCTCTTAGGGTCAGAAGGTTTAGCTCAGCTTCCTCCTCGTACAGAAAGGGAGACAGGTCCAAAGAGGGGGAGCAACCCTGTATCACGGAGTTCTGCTCCCTGACCCCCATTCCCAGCCTCGCTGTGTCTCTGGACTCTGAATTAGGGGTCTTTGCTCCCCCACCCATCCTTGGGCTCATGACTTCCTAGCGTCCTTCCAGCCCTAGCCCTGCCTTGCTGACCGCATCCTCTGGGCAGCCTGGATGGGGAAAGCAGGGAATGAACCAACAGGAGGCTGGTTTCAGCTCTCAGCTTCCCCCACCTCTACCCTTCCCGCACACCCTGTGGGCACCAATTAGCCCCAGCTGGTGAGGAAACTGACCCAGTGGGGAGGCGGCCAGGAAGGTATGAAAACTGAGGGATAGGTGGGGTCTGGGGGCTCAGGCACTTGCCCTCCCCCCAGCCCCTTTCCCTTGGTGACCCCAGCCCACATTCGCCTAAAGATCTGGAGGGTAACCAACCAGGCTCAGAGGCCAGGGCCCCAGAACCCCTGGGTCCCTGATTGGGCTGGGCTTGGGAGGCTGGGTAACTGGGGTTGCCCAATGGAGGTTCCTTCAGGCTGGGTCTCCTTGGGAAACCGGTCGAGCCAAGCAGACAGGACAGGGGACAGGTGGGGTGGCTCAGTACCCCCTTCCCTCCCCTTCCCAAACCGGCTGCTTCTTCCTGGCCCCACCCAGGACAGGGAACGGGAGACACCTGGGTGTGCCCTGTAAGACACTGTGTTTGGGTGTGGGGTCTGTGTGTGTGTTCACGTGTCATTGTGTATCTCTGCATCAGCATGGGTGCACGCATGTGTGACCCAGTGTGACATATGACATGTGTTCTTCCCTGTGCTCAGTGGAGTCCTCTCCTCATAGAACAGAAGCTCCCTAAGGGCAGGGGCTGTTTCTCTTCCGTCCCTGCACCTCCAGTGCCTGGCATGTCACGATTGCTGGTCCATTAATTGACTGTTAGGAGTCCATTCAAGGTGATGTCTCCTTTGTGTGCGAGCATCCCACTGTGAAGACCCAGCGGCTTCTGTGTGTTGTGTGAGCGGAAAGACCTTTGGTCTGAGAATCTGACGGCTCAAATGCTCGCTCGGCAGCGGACTACCGAGTGCCCTGGAGCGAGGCCCTTCCCCTTGGGCCTCCAAGGTTGCACCGGATGGTGCTCCCGGACCTTTCTAGCTCTGTGAGGTTCTGAGCACACCTCGGGGTGACCGTGTCAGGGGTGGGAGTGGGGTGTCTGGCACATTTCACTGTGTCTGTGCCTGCATTTCCAACGCTCTGGGCAGGGCTTTCTTGTCTCTGTGTATACTGGTTTCTCTGTCTCTGGGGTAACAAGGGGCAGTGTGGTACAACCCTGGGCATGGAGTCAGAGGACCTGAATTCGAATTCAGACTTGTTTACCTCGAGGCCTCCTAAAGTCCCTTCTAATTGAATAAAATAAGCATTTATTAAGTGCTTACTGTGTGAGGTTCTGTGCTTGGATATTCTCACTGAGTCAGTAATGTCTGAGCCATGACCCCATTTGGGATTTTTTTGGCAGAGATATTGGAGTGGTTTGCCATGACCTTCTCCAGCTCATTTTACAGATGAGGAAACTGAGGTGAATAGAGTAAAGTGACTTGCCCAGGTCCACACAGCTGGTGTCTGAGGCTGGATTTGAACTCAGGTCCTCCTGACTCCAGGGCAGGAGCTCTATCCCCTAGTATAAACAATCTCCCTGCCTCAGGGGGCCAATCTTCTCCTGGCCCGGGTCGGGTGGGGAATAGAAGGTGCCTAGCACTAATAACTTGCGGGGAGGAGGTAGCTAAGGAAAGCTTCTTGGAGGAGGTGGTACCAGTGCTGAGCCTTGAAGGAAGGTAAGGGTTATGAGAAGTGGAAGTGAGGAGGAAATAGAGCATTGCAGGCACATGGGACAGCCAGCCTCTTCACCCTGGTGTGTGTGTGTGTGTGTGTGTGTGTGTGTGTGTGTGTGTGTAGGGGCCAGTAGGGGACCTGGAAGTCAAACCTGAAGGACTCCTCCCTTGCCTGAGAGGTGGCCTCTGGGAGTCATTCCTTCCTAGCCTCAGTTTCTCCCTAATGGCCATGACTGGATGGGTGGAGCTGGAAAGGAGGGAGGCACCCAGAGAAACCAAGATGAGGGTGAAAGGGAGGACAGGTGGAGGGAAGAGCAGAAGAGAGTGTACATGACACACACACACACACACACACACACACACACACACACACACACGGAGCACAAGTTTGGGAGGTGGAAGGGCTGGCTCCTTAGGCAGCATCTAGTCCCAACACCTTCCTTTTAGAGATGAGGGTCCCACGGATGCTGCCCTGGGTCAGCTTTGAACCCAGGTCTTCTGATTTCAGACCCAGTGCTCCCGCCATTCAGACATAATCGCTTCCTTCCCTCCTCTCCCCTACCCCCCAACACAGACACAGCTGCACACACATGGAGATGAGCATGTGTTTTTGTGTATGTGATTTTGTAATCACAATCTCTGATTGTCTCAGGCCCAGACAGGGAGAGATAGAGACCCCAAGGTGTGGTGGGAAAGAGCCCAGGGCTGGCATTCAGACCCCCTGGATC